TATTGAAGAAAGAAGAGAGAAACTTACCAAGTTACAGAAAGTAACCATGTTTTGTTTTGTTTTGTTTTTGTAGCCAAAGCAGCAAAGGGTCCTTTGGTACATTAAAGAACTAACAGGTTATAGTTATAAATAAATAAAAAAATATTTAAAAAAAAGAACTAACACTTATATTACAGATGTGGGATGAGGTCTATGAAAGCCAATCTTTTTTAAAAAAAATGTTGGGACAGAATCATCTTTGTCTGTTCTGCTCAAGCAACTATTCTATTCTATTCTATTCTATTCTATTCTATTCTATCTATCTATCTATCTATCTATCTATCTATCTATCTATCTATCTATCTATCTATCTATCTATCTATCTATCTATCTATCTATCTATCTATCTATCTATCTATCTATCTATCGTATAGTCCGCCCAATTTAGTGAAATTACTACTCAAGGTGGTTTACACAATATAGACACACCATACAACCAACAACAAAAAAAGGGGGGGAGAGAAAAATAACAACATCCCAATCAGACAGTCATATTAAAAGACAACCATCAGCTGATATCAATACCAAAACACCATACAATTTACAATAAATAAAAAAGTAAATAAATATAATCCAATACAACAAATTAAAAAAAAAGTTGAATAGCTTCAAATCTGAATTCTGAAATATAACAAATGGGTCACAAATTTAACACTGGATGTTGCCAAAGGCCTCCCTGAACAGTTCAGTCTTCAAATAATGTTCTAAAGGACTGTAGGAATGGGGACTGCCTAATTTCTAATGGAAATTTGTTCCATAAAGAGGATGCCACTGCTAAAAAAAAGGCCCATTTCTAGTGATGGTCTTCTTTATTTCCCTCAGGACGGGCACCCTCAGGCACCCTGAGAGGCTTGGGTTGGATGGGTAGATATATATATCTGCCCATCTACCCATGGCTATCTACCCATATTTCACTTTATTTTATTTTACTTTTATACTACCCATCTGGCTGCCAGGGCATGATGGGATGTATATTCCCAGGGAGAGGCTTTCTGACAGGTAGTGTGGTCTCAAACCATTTAGGGCTTGATATCAAGCTCTTTCATGAGCTGCTGGACTCTTTCCACACTTCTTAAGAAGGTATACTGCACATCCTTGTGGAAGCATAACCTCCGTTCACTTCAGCTTGGCAATCTCTGACTTGCACAATGGCAGGTTGGAGAATCCATGGAGCACTATGCCAGTGCAACCTTACACTCTGTAGCATTAAGCAGTATACTATTAGTTCTTAGCATGTCACAAGACCAGACCTGAGAATTTTGAGATGCCCCCTGTCCATACTGGCTGGGGTAGTTGAGAAGCTGCAGTCTAGAAAAAGACTTTCTCCCAGCAATACTCCGGGCTCTTGTTTTTGTTCACAGTTGACACAAGGCTGTTTTTTGGTGCCTTTTCTTCCCCGCTTTTTCTGTGCATTTGGCTGGCTATAGAACAGTTGATGAGCCAGCTTGTGAAAATAATGTGTGTTAGCCAAAACAGCTCTCCTTTGTAGAGGCTGTGGAGAGCAATGTTTATTATCCACCACACCAACCCTAGATGACCTCAACTTCTCACCAGAGTTTAAACCAAATATTTTAAAAAGAGGAAAATAATGGCCCCTTTCTGTATCCACATAGCTTTCATAAGGCTCTAAGCTATCTTCATGACAAATACAAATGATAGCAGATGTTGAGGTAGACAGTGAATTATTGGTCAGGCATATTGCTTTCTTTTTCTTCATTATTATTAAAGGGAGGGCCTTAATTCCTGTCTAGGAACGTGAAACATTTGAACCCTACCTCAGTCTTTCCATTTTCAACTAGAAATGCAACTTCAGAAGTATGTGGCCAAAGCCAGTCCCCAGCCTAAAAAAAATGAAAATACTGCTTTCTGTCTGGAGTGAGAGAAGGGATGCTGTTTGATGGATGTGGAAAATTCCACACTTGACTCAACTGTCTGTGTTACTTTAAGATCTGCCGTGATACCTTCAGGGCCCTGTTAAGGGAAACCAAAATATAGAACATTGACTAGTGAAACAATTACAAGTTGCTTATCTGAGAAGAAGTTCATAGAGCGACAAAGAGGGAGGCCCAGAGATGTGTGAATAGGGCATATCTGAGACAGATATCCTATGAATGGTACCTCAGGAGGCAATGAGATCCATTGAACTCAATAGTGTATCATCCTGAGTAATATGCTTTAGGTTGCACTGTAAATCAAACACAAGACTGTCTGTGATAGTAATCATGCTGGTTGTGTTCTTTGAAGTCTCATGTCAATGGCTTTCAACCTTTGAGCCTCCAGATGATGGTTAAGACACAAGAGCAGGGTTTCTTGGTGACTGCTCTTAATATCTGGAACTTCACTGTTGGAAAGCTAGTTGGGATCCCTTGCTGTTGTGTTTCCACCAGCAGGCAAAGGCCATTTTCTTCAGGTGGACCTTTGCAACTGACTTGCTTGATGTGGAAACAGTTTTAACCTGGTGGAGCTGTTCTTAATTTTACTGCTGTGTTTAAAATCTTTTATTCCTGTATTCTTCTTGTGTTTTGATGGCATTTGTTTTATTTAATTTTATTGTAAGCCACATTTTCTGGGGAAAAGGAGGAATATAAACTGTATGGATGGGTTGGTGGGTGTTTAGTTGGCTACTTTTCACTTCTGCCTTTTTTTCCCCAGTGACATGTATTGTTCTTGTACTCCACATTTGATCCACACAACAATCCTGTAGGTCAGGTTAGAGAGAGTAACAGGTGCAGGATAACCAGGCAACATCATGGTTCAATGGGGACTTGAACCCGGCTCTCCCAAATCTCAGTCCTGTAACTAACCACTAAGCCACAGAAGGTCTCTGTTATTATAATGATAACAACTGTCAATACAGTAAAAATAACAGTCATATAGCTTTATCTATGTGCCTGGCAGACTAATTAAACAGTTTAATATTTGAGAGTACTGTGATGTTTGGTAAGTTTCTGGAATCATAGGAGAATATTTCAGCCAACCTTTCTTCCAGATAAGGATCAAACCTTCAGGGTTTCATCATACAGACCCAAACAGAAACAAAGTATTATACAAGACTACATTTTCTAAATCTGCTTTTGGCATTGACTCAGGGGTCTGAAATTTCTTCAGAGCCATCAGCACAGAGACTGCAGAATATAGTTCAGAATGAAACACTAACTGGGTCTAAGGCTCTTCGTTTCCAGCTCCACCTAGCCACTTTCCTTGTTAGCAGTGCTGGGAAATTTTGCTCTTCAAACTTGCCTAAGTCCTAACAACAATAACTCGGCCAAAAGTTGCACACTCTTTTGAGCCGGGGCACTGGCTTAGGATAATTTTGTTAGACACAATGCAGCATCCTGATGGCTCAGCAGTGCCTTGTCCTGTACTCCCCTCCTCCCGTTGCATGTCTGTCTGGGTTTTAGTGGAAGATCAGCATACTGGCAACTCAAATCCAAGTTAGAATAAGTGTCTCTTGCTGATGGGACAAAAAGTTCATGAGGATGCTTAGCTTTAAAAGCCTGCTGGTAGCACCTACATCCGAACCAAGCAAGAATGGTGAGGGCTTGAACAAAGTCAACATCGAATTGAAGGAAAATATATGTATGGTATTTGATTAAAGATCTAAGGTGTGAGTCTTAGAGGAGTAATACTGCTAGTAGCGGTAAAATTCCAATAATGCCAGCATTCCTATTGCTATTTTAACTTTATCTGGAGGTTTTTCAGGAGAAAAAATGACTTTTCTTTACTCTTTTTTTTTTCCTCCAGTGGGTCCTGAAAAACAATGTCCAGTCTGCCTGCAGCATGCAGGACACATTTTGCCCACCTCAAGTTAAAGTGTGGCAAGCCAGTCAAAACATTAAAGGCAGGGAATTGTTGGTGAAAAGTGGGAGCACTGTCATGATGAAAAGTGGGTCAGCTGCATCATACAGCAGATGCAGGGGGATGAGGTGAGGTGATGAAGTGCTAAAGTCAGAAACTGGGCTCCATGAGACATGTCTTTCACCTCCTGACCTAACCTGCCATCATACTGATGCTGAAACAAGTATCAACTCCTGAGACACTTGGCTTTTTTATGTGGTATAGACTGTGGGAGAATACATGGTATATTTCCCTTTGCTTCCAGCAGCCAAATGTCCTGGGATACACAAGAGCCCCTTGTTCCTACATTTTCTTATAGAATGATGCAACTGTGTGCTCCATCCTGTAGAAGGAAAAAAGACTCCCTAAGGGTTCTTCCTTAGCAAGAATGTCCTGACCATAAGAGCTGTTTGATTATAGAATGAACTCTCCTTCATAGATAGATAGACAGAGATACAGAGATCCACACCACAACACACACATATACATCCAGCAACAGATTGCACAGAAATGGTAAGTGCCCAGGCTATAAAGCAACACCACTCACAGAACACCTTCACACAAAACCAAACTTTCTCGTCTTCCATCACCATTTGCTCTAAGATTCATCTCCTTTGTCCAGAGACTCAGGAAAGAAAGGCAATGTGAAATGTTCATGGGTGCCCCGAGATCTGAAAACCCTACAAGTGAGACTTGGCCCAAGAGCATAAAACCTAATCACCTTGCTCTCGTTCTCTTTATCTAAGACCAATCCAAGGATTTTCATGGTTTGCCCTTTCAGAGTGATGGAAAGGAAATATTAGACTGGCTAAACAAGAGCTTGCATTCTGCTGGGCTGATTGTTGCTTTAAAAAAAAAAATCAAAGTTTGTTTCATGGTATATTTAATTTCTAAAACTGTTTAATTAAAGTAGAATATAAATTATAAGGCATAAATACAGAAATGGGCATGCAGGTGTGAAACAGACCCAAGTTAGAGTTTGTATCAAATGGAGAGAATAGGAAAGTGCTTTTTTCTTGTTGTCTATATTTTCCCCAAGTTTCATTCATCAACAGCCATTGGACACCGAGTGAATTGCTAGTGGTGTGATGTTGTTTTTATGGGCATCCTGTCTATTTCTGCAGGTATATTGGAGCCCTAGGGGCAAGAGTGATTTGTGACAACATCCCTGGACTGGTGAACAAGCAGCGCCATCTGTGTCAGAGTTATCCAGACATTATGCAGTCTATTGGAGAGGGAGCAAAGGAGTGGATCCGGGAATGCCAGCACCAGTTCCGTCACCACCGCTGGAACTGCAGCACTTTGGACAGAGACCACACCGTTTTTGGCAGAGTCATGCTCCGAAGTAAGTCTACCGAGCAGCTCGCTTATTGCCTAGCCTTTCTGAGTGTGCCATGGGAATGTTTGCTTGATTGCTATTACTTGGTGGGTGTTGGAATCTGTGTGTCTCTTCTGTCTAACATTGCTTTGAATTTTCAAAAAAGGAAAACTTTTTCAAAACTTTAGTTTCGATACTGAATCTGAAAATATCCCATAAAAGATGTTAAAGTACAAATGGTCAAGGCTCCCCAGAACCCATGTTTTAAGGGTTCTACAACAGCTGCTCTGTTCTTCTAGTTCAGTGGAAATGACTTTACTGGACCATGCCAGCCCAGTGTTCTGCTTCTATCAGTGGGCAACCAGATGCCTTCAGTAAGGTCACCATTAGATAATGAGTGATGACAACAGGTTTCCTCCTCATTTCCTTTCTCTAGCATCTACTATTCACAGGTATATGTCCTTTAAACATGGAAGTATCATTTCACTATCATAGTTGGTATTTTCTTAATGGTTCAGTCTCAGAAAACCATAAACGTTTTCAAGAAGGAAGAATATTATCATGTGCACTCTTTTGGATGGAATAAAGGCCAAAGTGGCCACCATATGGAAGGTTCTTTATCAACTTCTTATGGTAAGACATTGATCAGTGACTTTGCAGTAAAACAGATATGTAGGGCTGCAACTGGCATAGAGCAACAAGGGCTTTGCCCCAGGGCCCCAAAATTGTGAGGCCACTGAAATCTAGCAGCAAATTGATGAGTGTTAGAAAAATAGATGGCAGCCCTGTTAATTTTCCTATCTGTGAATACATACACTTTCCCTTTCAGGAGGATACCACATTTATCTCCTTTTTCACAGGACACTCATTCCCATTCCTCACAGTAAAGTGGCTGGGAGGCAGTGACATTTTGGGTGTCAAAGGGGCTAGTTATGGCTCTTCAGGCAGGTTTGGATGGTTCTGCATGTGTGGATATAAAGCAAAATCAAAACGTATTGCTTATATACTGCCCGATAGTGCTTAAAGCACTATCTGGGTGGTTTACAAGTTAATTATGCAGACTACATAGCTGGGTATTCATTTTGCCAACTTTGGAAGGATGGAAAGCTGAATGAACCTTGAGCCAGCTACCTGGGATTGAACCCCAGGTCCTGAGTACAGTTTTGACTGCAGTACAGCAGTTTAACCACCGCACCATGAGTGGTGCTTACAGCTTAAACCCATCCATAAATGCAAGCTATTTATTTAAGATGGAGGTCCGGACTTCTTTGACTAGCCAATACTTATGCTAGCTAGGGATTCTGTTTGAAATAGTGTAGCCCCCGGCCCCAAACATTTTCCAAACATGTTTTTGACCTTCTGATTGTAAAGCCCCAGCTAGGACTGTCCTGTTGATACTGACAATATGAGTGAACCTATGTTATATCTTATGTGGACATTTGGATCCTTCTAGCAGGAAAAAGTCCCATATGAAAGTAGATGTTAATGGATTAGCACTCTCTCATGTGCTCATGACACCACTTGCAGTTGTAAAAGTCAGACTCTTAGCAAAGGCTCTGTGTGTGACAGGGACAGACTCACATTTAAAAGGCAAGCCTTTTAAGCTTGGCCCTTGGTCTTTCAAGAAACAGGAGCTTTTGCCCTCACACGAGGAGATCTAATCAGCACAGACAGAGCAAGGCCTAAAATTGCCCTGAACAATGTCTTGGCTTCTCCTGTATACTAAGCAAACAGTAATGGGATATGTCACTGCACTGGGAAGTAACCACTTCAGAAGGGGGGAAGAACACCTCAGGGAGCGTGAGCTTGAAAGTAAACTGAAACAGGATATATAAATATTTGGCTCCGGGAACTGGCGGAGTGTCAGTAGCTGAGGGCAATGTTCGTAGTCACCCTGTATAGTGCAGAAGGCCAAGCTGCAGCCATGAACTTCCCCTCCAAGAGGGTTTGTGGTTGTGCTGTGTAATGCATCACTTTCTCATCACTGGACAGAACCTGAATACACCAAGTACACTGACCATGCCTTGAGTACAGTTTTAGATTTTCTTCAGACATGCACACTATATATTTCTCCCTCTTGTCTTAGAACTTGCATAGAAAAGGAACTTGAGAAATCAGAGAATTATTTTTCATCATAACTCTTATCCTCCTCATGGCTCACAGTGACTGTAGTAACCTTCAAAGGTGGACCTTCCCCCAACACCATCCTTTTCTGGCAAGATACTGCATGTTCACCCATCATAGACAGTATGCCCATATCCAATGACATGTTTCTCTATTTCCTGCACCCATGTGCTTTCTTCTGTCTCCCTCCAGTTTCTATATCTTCACACCGCACACCCATGGTGACTTCCTGGGTACCCATTAATTGAGTGATGCTGTGTCATCGTTGTCATCTGCTGCTGCTAGCCTGGAAGCTTTGTAGCAGTACATATAGGTCAAATAAAACAAGCACAGGAACTGGTCACCTTGCTAACCTACGGTGCCTGAATACCATAACCAAATCAATTTCCTCCCCATTGCCTTCCTCATATTATAAACTTTATATCACTCTCATGGTTACATGACCTGTTATATTTCTACTAACAACCTTACCAGTTTCTGCATTTTCCCCTCCCATTCGTCTTTATATAAGCATTTTAATTATACTATTAGGACAGAACCCTATATTTAGAGTCATAGCCATGTAATGGCATGGCAGTATATTAGCAAGTCTTGGCGTGCCTTCCATAATCTTAGATTACCCCTCTCCTCCTTGAACTAGCTCGTGTGGTGTCATGCCATTACATGCCATAACACTACCATGACCACATACATAAGAGGCAGCATATGTGGCTGTAAGTATAAATGCAACAGACCATGTGCCTGTTCTTGCTCCTCTATGGCCTAAATAGTTTTGGAAAAGAGATTCGGACTGCAGTGGGCAGTAGAAGTGAATGAGAGCATTAGAGTTTGAAGATGAAGTCCTGCCGATGCATCAAAAAACCATGGTGGCTCAGTCATTGACAACAAAACAGAATGTCTACTGTGTGATGGTTCGTGCTGGATTACTGTGGGAGAGAAATCCAAACCCCAAAAAATGGGTCAAGACAACCCACAGTAGCTTTCTTTGCCATTTTATTATGGGAAGGAAAAAAAATCACCTGCTCACAGGTCTAATTATATTGGGATAAAGTGTGTATCATTTGGACTGCACAACCAGAGATGAATCATCCTGATTCAAAACAATATAGAGAGGCATGCAATATAGTACATGCAATATGGTTTCCTTCAGAGTTTCATATCAAATAAGTGAAATGATTCAATTGTTACCAGTAATTTCTTAGTCGGTCAGCCTATATGAAGTAGGGCGACTGGTTTTATCCCATCTACTTTCATGCACAAAATAATACAGCTAAAAGCAAAAAAAGCAAAGCGTGCTGCTTATATACCGCCCCATAGCGCTTCAAGCACTCTCTGGGCCATTTACAATTTAATTATGCAGGCTACACATTGGCCCCCCAGCAAGCTGGGTACTCATTTTACCGACCTCGGAAGGATGGAAGGCTGAGTCAACCTTGAGCCGGCTACCTGGGATTTGAACCCCAGGTCGTGAGCACAGTTTTGGCTGCAGTACAGCGGTTTAACCACTGCGCCACGAGCTAAGAAATATACAGTTTAATGCTTTGCAATAGCATGTAATAGTTCCACCAGCCATCCGTAAACTGATGAATTAGACCCATAGATAGCAGCCTGCTTTAAATTTGAAGCACAAAGTACTGATATTTGATGACAGAGTGCTTTTGCTTTGGAAATTTGTTTGCTGTCAGGTGGGTTGTTAATAAAGCAGTTTTGTCCTAGAATATGTAACAATCCAGGTTGCTTCCTGACGTTGTGTGTGTGTGTGTGTGTGTGTGTGTGTGTGTGTGTGTTTGTGCGTGCGTGCGTGCGTGCGTGCGTGCGTGCGTGTGACTTGTGAGCCACCATAGATCCCTTCACTGGAAGAAATGCAGCTTACAAATGAAACCTGGCAACCAACCAATCAACGGATACAGAGTGAAGTGATTTTTAATTCATATTAAACTTGTGTAGCAAAAAGAGAAACAAAAATGTTGTGTTTCCTTCTCTGACTAACCAGTTTATCTCCATGTGTGCTTCTGTGAATGATAAACCAGCTGAATTTCTTGAAGAATCCACAAAAGCTCATACAAACCTAGGAAAGCTTACACTGAAATAAATGTCATAGTCTTAAAGGTGCCACAATACTTTGGTGTGCTTTTTTCTTGTTTGTATTATTTTATGTGTGTTTTTTAAAATAGACTAACATAGTTATCTTTCTGAAAATTGTATGGCCAGACATGATAGGATGCACCATAATTCACAGACAATAATGAGAAGGGGCGGAGGTCAGAAACATAACTTTCTTGAATTACAGCTCCTGAACAATCCATCCAACATAGGTGATAGAGAATCCTGGGAATTTTTTAGACTAAAAAATTAATTTCTCACAGCTCTGATTATGTGACATTTTAATGATATGTATGCATTACATATGACACAAAGCCTCATCTCAGATTAAAGAATTCTAGTTGCAGTTATTGGTAACTGATAAAAGCCAAAGAAAATTCAGTAAATAACAAACTATAGGTATTTAGTAGCTTTGGCTTAGAGAAAGGTAGAAACTACCAAACTATTCTTATCTTTGGCTCCTTCTGCTAGGAAAAAAAACCCTACCATTCACTTTACCTCTCTCTGCCTAAGAGTGTATCACTTGCTTTGTGGTAGAACACAGCACTCACTTTGAAGCTGCTTTTCGAAAGCTGCTTCTGCCGAATACAACATGGTGTGGTTTTGATTTGCAGCTGCTTTTATGACCATTATAAAAACAGATGCGAACTCAAAGAAGAACTGTAAAATGCCAGGCAGCATCCTGCGTTGTGCAGGGATTTGCCAGGCAATTTACAGCTCCTGGAAAGAGCAGTTCTTATGCAATTGTGAAAGAAAGAAAGAAAGAAAGAAAGAAAGAAAGAAAGAAAGAAAGAAAGAAAGAAAGAAAGAAAGAAAGAAAGAAAGAAAGAAAGAAAGAAAGAAAGAAAGAAAGAAAGAAAGAAAGAAAGAAAGTCATCATCTTAATGGGATGAGTTGAGCTATCAAGCTGTTAAGGCTCAGGAAGTATAAACTAAAAGGTGTGAGATCAAAAAAATGCTTTCCATTTATGTAATCCAACAAGGAACAGTCGCAAGATGCTGCCAGATGCCTCAAGCTTGACTCATTGTGAATAAAGATGTAGACAAAATAACAACCACCTATGTCCATATCACTTGTTTGCACCAGGTAAAAATAAGCATAAAATAGCAGTGAAATCGCTTTTATTCGGCTGACTGAAGAAAAGTCTCTGTATCTTGGGCTTTCAAGACATTCTTCTCCAAGAGAGTACGTGGAGTCTATTTTTTGGGGTATTCTCTTCAGTTGAACCTTCAATGTCACCTGACTTTTTGCCTATGTTTATCCAATTCCATCTCCTATTCATAAACAGAAAATAACCTTGGGATCCAGGATAGGCCTTAACTTTCTTAGCTATATTTGATTCTGAGGAAGTGGATTGTAATCTGCTAAAGTTTGTGCAAAAAATAAATCTGTCAGTGGTGCCACAAAATGAGGTTGATGATGGCGGTGATGAGATAGGCTAACCTGGTTTCTCTGCAAAAATGGATGTATTCACTTGCTTTGGATACATGTACATGGATTCCTCAACAAAGTTAAATGATTCCAATCATGATTGGCCATATTTTTCCCCAGCACCTCACTACAGTAGTGAATGTATTTTGTTAGCCCTATTAGGATTGGAGTGTTAACTTGAGCATATCTTCTTGTTATTTTTGCTATTATATATTGGTAAATATGCCAGGAAGCCAAGGAACTCTTGTGTAGGTGATGGATGGCCAATCTCTTGTATTACATCAGTCACAGAGCCCTTTTGCTGCCTGAGACAGAGCAGATGTCCTCTTCAAAGTAGCCAAGAACAGCCAATTTATTCTGGTAGCTGAGGCAGAATGGGCCATCTCCATTCTTGGCAATAGAGATACTAAGAAAATAAACTATTATATGCTGTCTTTCCATATACAGGACCCAAAACCTACCACTTTTGAATTATTTTATTTTTTTTTCTTTTCCCTACCCCCAGTTCTTTGGGAATTTTCTTCCTCTTTGGGAGTTTTTTCATGGGGAGTCATTTCCTTTCCTCCCCTTTCATGTATTATTTTTGCTGCCTGTTGCTCACACACACAAAAAAGGAAGAGAGGTCATTAAGTGGTAGGGGAGAGGGAAATCTCCTCATATTTCAGCACCTTTATATGGGGGGGGTTGCTTTGGTTTTTATTTTTCATTTTATTGATCTGCTTTGTCTGTTTTTGCTTTATTTGCTTTCATACTTTTCTTGGTTTTGGCGAGAGAGGGCTGTGTTGTTGTTGTTTTAATTCTGCTATTATTTTCCTGTGTTGGTGGGGGGATTTATGCCGATTGCCTTTATACACTATAATAATGTATTTGCCATGGCTACGGTGTTAGTCTTTGAGATGCTAGAAGACTCTTTGCTATGTCTTATTTCCTTGCATTAATTTTTTAAAAAAAATAACACACATGTAATTGTTCTCTGCAGCAAAAGATAGAGAAGTTCTATACAGTAAGCAAAAACAAGACCTGGAGCTGATAGTGGCTCTGATCATCAGCTTCTCATAGCAAAATTCAAGCTTAAACTGAAGAAAGTAGGAAAAACCACTGGGCTAGTCAAGTATAATCTAAACCAAATCCCATATGAATACACAGTGGAAGTGAAGAACAGATTTAAGGAACTTGATTTGGTGGACAGAGTGCCTGAAGAACTTTGGATAGAGGCTCGTAACTTTGTACAGGAGGCAGCGACAAAAACTATGCCAAAGAAAAGGATATGCAAGAAAGCAAAGTGGGTGTCCAATGAGGTCTTACAAATAGCAGAGAAGAGAAGGGAAATAAAATGCAAGGGAGACAGGGGAATTTACAGAAAAATGAATGCAGATTTCCAAGGAATAGCAAGGAGAGACAAGAGGGCCTTCTTAAATTAACAGAGCAAAGATATAGAGGAAAATAATAGAAATGGGAAAACCAGAGATCTGTTTAAAAATGGAGATAGGAAAATAATAGAAATAGAAAAACCAGAGATTTGTTTAAAAATGGAGATATTAAAGGAACATTTTGTGCAAAAATGGACATGATAAAAGACAAAAATGGTAGGGACCTCACAGAAGCAGAAGACATCAAGAAGAGGTAGCGAGAATACACAGAGGAATTATACCAGAAAGATCTGGAAGACAGAGGGCCTGGTGTGCTCTGGTCCATGGGGTCATGAAGAGTTGGACACGACTTAATGACTAAACAACAACAATTGCTCTATGGACGTACAACTTTTTGACAGGTCAAATGTCATACCCTGTTCTGTACACAACATGATTCCAAGAACTCCATAATCTTTATGGCTTGGACCCCATCTATCCTGGATAAGCATTTATAGGATGTGAATGCTTTTATTTTAATTGTGTGAAATTTGTACTCTTTGTAAATGGCTAAAAATGTAGGGATATGTAAAGACAAAACTTTGAAAGAGATCTGTGATTAGGGTGGGGAAAGAGAAGGACAAGGAGTCCAAAATTGTAAACTAGATTCAAATGCTATGGAACGTTATTTTATTTGCTGTAACAAAGAAATGGGAAAGGTTGGAATCCAGTTAGTATATTTGCTTATAAGGGAATGGAGAGCCTTACACGATGTGGCAGAAGAAAATTCTAGTACACTATTAGGTTCAGGCTGTACAGCTCTAGCAGTATTCTTCTGGAATAAAAATAAAACAAATATATGCAAATATGTGGATGATTATTAAATTATTCCTGAGCCAAGCCACCACCAAACAAGCATTCATAAATTGTTTTTTATCTGGAGGTTACTCAGAAGTGGACTTTTCAAACTATTACATTCTGCATGATATATTCTGTGTTATTCTAATTTTATATTTGATACCTTTCCCCAGTTAGAAGCAGGGTTCCTTTATTTTTCAGTGATTGAAAGTGAGCACTTCAGCACATAAATCTGACCTCCATTGGTTTATCAAGTGCAGTATTGGTGATTGCTGGGGTGGGCAACATGTGGCGCTCCAGATGTTGCTGAACTGCAATCCCATATTCCCCGATTATTGGTTATGCTGGCTAGAGTTGATGAGAGTTGCAGATTAACAACATCTGGAGATCCACAGATTGCTAACTATTGATATACTGTGACATGGCACACCTATCCAAGAGCCTAGAAGGAAAACTTCTCAAGCCCTTACTGCCTGCTAGGTTTTAAATGAGGATTTCACAGACTAGATATGGATCCTTCTATATTCTAAGTGGTCTGTTGTCAAGTTATGATGATGATGATGATGATGATGATGATGATTGATTGATTGATTGATTGATTGATTGATTGATTGATTGATTGTATTTATACCCCGCCTATCTAGTCATTTCGGCCACTCTAGGCGGCTTACAACATAAAACATAACAAGTTCAAGAAAAATTTATAACAATTAATTAATTAAATGATTTTGCAATGGAAAAAATACAAAATAAATCAAATAAAGAGGGAAAAAAAAGGAAAGAGGACAGGAATTAACTGGAAGGGAAGGCCTGCCTATACATCCACGTTTTTAGTTGGTTCTTAAAAGTACCCAGCGAGGGTGCAGCGCGAATCTCCGGAGGTAGGTTATTCCAGAGGCGAGGAGCCACCGCTGAGAAGGCCCAGTTTCTAGTTCTTTCCTTCCGGGCCTCCCTTGGTGTCAGGCTCCTCAGCCTCACCTCCTGGCTCACACGGGTGACACAGGTAGAGCTAGTATGGCTTCTTTCAATAGAGAGTCTCAGCTGGATGTTGGTTCCAAGTAATCTTTTACTTCTTAGTACAGTATTCAAAGATAAAACTTCATATATTCAGGTCCCTTGTGTTTTCTAAGTAGAGCTTAGAAAAGTCACTTTTTGAAGTGCACAAGTTCTTTTCAGAATTGCACACTTTCCATCTCGGAACTCAGTCTGTTCTTTCTCTCACTCGTTCTTGCAGGTAGCAGAGAGGCAGCCTTTGTCTACGCCATCTCTTCAGCTGGCGTTGTGTATGCCATCACTCGAGCCTGCAGCCAAGGCGAGCTCAAGTCCTGCAGCTGTGACCCCCACAAGAGAGGCCGTTCCAAGGATGAAAGAGGGGAATTTGACTGGGGAGGTTGCAGTGACAATATCAACTACGGGATAAAATTTGCAAAGGAGTTTGTGGATGCCAAAGAGAAAACCGTGAAGGATGCCCGGGCCCTGATGAATCTCCATAACAACCGTTGTGGCAGAACAGTAAGTAGCACCAACCCTTAGGTATTAGTCAACGGTTGATAACATGTGAACTATCCTACACGGCTCTGTCCTGCTGACTAAAACCTTAATGGTCCCTATTTCCCATCATGCTGGCTTATATGGTGCAGTCAAACCATTGAGAGCCTTCATCTGTGCTAAAAACTGCACATTCAAATTAGATACCACAGCTAGTACATAATCAAAAGTGGAGCTCCCTTAAGCAGCCCAAAACATATATTTGCTATACCAGTTTGCCTCTCACCTTTGTATGTCACATTAGCTTGCTTTTTGTTTGGCTATAGGGCATCAGGAGGTAAACACTGGCTTCATTTTCCAATCTGTGTCATCATGCATGAGATCTGAAGGAAAAATGTATCTTGAGAGGAAATGCTACATTGTCAAGGAATGCACACTTCCCTTTATGTTTCATTGCTGACATTTCACTTTTAATGTCGTTTCTGAAAGTGTCCTGGGGTACGGAATGTTTGTCCCTTGAGCACAAAACAGATAGATTTCCTCAACTCCTGCTGACCCCATTCAGAGAAAAGTTTGAGTCCTCATCTATGTTCTATTAGGAGGCTCATCGGCAGGACTCCAGTAGCATACTCCAGTTCAAGGAACAACCTATGTCAGCAGAGTTACAATCACCACTCACCTTGTACCCTGAAAAATCTGTTTTGGAAGACTAAGATATCTTCTGGAGTCTATTTTCAGGCAGTGCAGAGGGCTGCAAGAGGGAAACAATTTCTATCCCATGCTGACAATCAGGCATTAGTGTGATCCTTCCAGGTCAGTGCCTGAAAGAGTATCAACAAAGTGGGGAATTTGAAACAGCAAAGAATATGGATCATTTTCTCAAAGTTTCCATTCCTATTTTTTTTACTGTTTGGGCAACAGGAGAGTGACTCTTTACACTAGCTTTTTGGATCATTTTCTCAAAGTTTCCATTCCTAATTTTTTTTAACTGTTTGGGCAACAAGAGAATGACTCTCTACACTGGCTTTTTTTTGTTTTGTTTTTTAGCCACAACCATAAACACAATATGAAAGAAACATAGGCTGAATCCGGCTTATATAAGTTGCATAATGAACCTTGTAAGGTGGTGTGTGAAGAATTGTTTCCAGTCTGTGGCCCCCTTCAAATGTGCCAGGACCTCCCCCCAGGGACCATATAGACCCCATTGAGAATGGCTGTTCTGCACAACCAGAAAGATCTCTATGTATCTGCCCTTCATTTAAGGTTCCACCAAGGATAGTTGCCTTTTGCCAAACTAAGACATTTATTCTCATAAATCTTGCCTCCAGAACATCATTATGGAAAAGCTCTTGCTGTTTGTGCAGTGACAGTTACGCCTTGAAGCAAAGCCATATCCAAGGTCATTAAAGGTTGCTTGCATTTGCTTTCACTTGGAATGATTTCCAGCTCTAATTGACCAGACAGAAATGTATCACAAAAGAGGATTTGCAGGTATTGTTCAGCGGTCTGGCAGGTCTTTACTATAACTAGTCAAAATGTTCTAAGTGGAAAATCCCAATGTGAGAAAGACAAACAAGGCAGAACTGTTGGAGGCAAAAATGGCTGAATGATTAGAGCACTCTCTGCCCTAACCAGGATTGTTTGGTCATTATTAACAGATATTATTCTGGCTGTTTTGTTCCAGGCAGTGAAGCGTTTCCTGAAACTGGAATGTAAATGTCATGGTGTCAGTGGTTCCTGCACCTTAAGGACGTGCTGGCTGGCAATGTCGGATTTCCGCAAAACAGGAGATTACCTAAGGAAAAAATACAATGGTGCCATCCAAGTAACCATGAACCAGGATGGGACTGGGTTTACTGTGGCCAATAAGAATTTCCGGAAGCCCACTAAAACGGACCTTGTATATTTTGAGAACTCACCTGATTACTGTCTGATGGATAAGTCTGCAGGTAAAAGAAATGTCCTGAAGTGCTATCAGCACCTGTGACCCTTCCAGATAATGTTGCCATATAAGTTCCTTCATTGTTGACCACTGGCCCCATGTCAGGGGATTATGGGAGTTAGAGTCCAACAAAATCTGGAGTTTAGTTTACATTATTGTATGAAGGGAGCCATTTCTTCTATGGAGCTACCTGAACAAAATATAATATATAATATAAACTCAGAACTGCAGATCCAAAAGGGATTCTATGGATCATCAAATCCAGCCTTATCAAGGAGGCACAGTGGGAAATTGAATTCTCAACCTCTGGATCCATGCATGAAAGCTGAGAGATGGCAAAGAGAATATGAAAACATCAGTGAAAACTGCAGTTGTATTTGCATTTAGCAGGAGGTTTCTAGCCTTTGGATTAAAATTCATGATTTTGATGGCTATTTATTCTCTTATGATTTCCATTTTGTTGTAGTCCTAGAGCATCAAATCACTCACCGGTTCCTCTTGTCTCCTGAACCCAGGACAGTCTACAGCAGATTGTTAAAACTATGCTTACACACTAATTCCTAGAAACAGTACTAACCATTTACAGACATACCATTGCTGGTAGTCAACTTCTGTACAACAGTATTTCTGAAAACAAGCACTTTTTGATAGATTTTTAAAATATGCTCTCCTATATGTAGAAGGGAACCCATTGCTGACCCTTACATTAGATTAGCATAGTTTCCCCAGTTCATGATCATAGTGTAGCAGACAATTTAATACAAAAGTTAAAAGCATCCTTCTCTTTTTGCAGGTTCATTAGGGACAGCCGGACGAGTTTGTAACAAAGTATCACGTGGTACTGACGGATGTGAGGTTATGTGTTGTGGCCGAGGTTATGACACCACCCGAGTAAAGCGTGTCACTAAATGCGAGTGTAAATTTCACTGGTGTTGTGCAGTTCGTTGCAAGGAATGTGAGGATGCTGTGGATATTCACACGTGCAAAGCACCAAAGCGGGCAGAATGGGTGGATCAAACCTGAGCGACAGCTGGACAGAGCCAAGGAGGGAAAGTAAAACTGGCACAGTGCCATCCACAGGCCTGGGCATTCTGGGAATTGTGGTTCAACTTGCATGGCTTTTATTTATATTAATTCTGCAAAGCACTGAGAAGACTACGTATCCCATGGGGGACAGTGAACTCTTCTGCTCACCCAGCAGAACCCACCCCCTACTTTAGGGGGAAGAAACAAAAGAATTTGCCAAACAACACCAAACTGTGAAGCTTGCCTTGCCCGGTGATACTGTGCAAAAGAAAAATTGAGGAGAATACAGGAGCACAAGAGACTGAGAACTTGGTTGTGATGTAGCTGGAGAGAATCCTGCCTCTTTCTAAAGAATTTGTTTTGGCAGCACATGATTAAAAAGTATCCAAAGGTAAGAGTGACTTGGTGGGGGGGACCCCTCTGTCCGACCTGGAAGAAAATGCTGTTTCCTAAATAAAAATGGCTGTATAATGCTCAGAACATTCAATGCTTCATTAAGAACTTTTCTCAGAGGTCGCTATGCCTGCACTATGAACATCAGCTAAATGATAATAACTTTGTGTGAAGGGACTTTTATCATTTTCCTTTTCTAACGGAAAAGAAACTGGAGTTCTAAAATTGTCTGTGAAAATAAAATAAATCTCTGTCTACAGGGAAGGGGGTGCAGGAAAGGATGGTGGACAGCTCTGTGTGTGTGTGTGTGTGTGTGTGTGTGTATGCGTGTGTGTGTGCAGACATGCTGGTAGGTTCTAAAGGAAACTAATATAATATGGTGACTTTTTTGTACAAATGCATTTGTACATTTGTATACACTGCTTTAAATACTTTAAATCAAAAAAAAAAAAAACCACCCTCATATAAACCTATATCAGATAGTGGTGCTTTGCTTTGTGACTTTCTATCGTTCATGACTTATTAGGAAAGCAATGGACAGATCTAGTTATACTTTATTCACTCAGTTCCACAATATCTGTGCTTCTAGCTTGTGAAGGTAGATTTCAAGAAGGGACAGGCAGCACCTCAGTACTGATATGTCACCAAGGTTAAACAATTCCACCTATCCTGATCTCTGCACCTTTGGAACAATTTCCTCCATCTCAATATATTTTTTTGCCTTCCTCTACTCTTTCTCTACGAAACTAATTGATTTCCCATTTTCTTCGACAGTTTAATGGGCAACCTGAAACGTGCTAGTTTGGGGGTCTACTGAAATCAAGCCATTGCTAGCTCATCTTGCTTTTCCCTCCTTTTTTTTTTTTTTTTTAAGTGAGAAGCAAATCTCTGGGGTTGATCAGACAGTCACTATGGTGTACAGCAGCCATTCTCAGGAGGGGGGGTCATATTGGCCCCCTGGGGGATCCTGGCGCATTTGAAGGGGGCATAGACTGGAAGCAATTCTTCACACACCACCTTATAAGGTTCATTATGTGATTTACATAATCCTGATTTGACCTATTTTTTATGTTGTGTTTATGGCTGTGTCCCCCCCCCCCAAAAAAGGCTGAGAATGGCTAGAATGTTGCACTAGGATTCAGGAGAAGTGAGTTCAAATCCGCATTTGACCACAGAAACTTACTAGGAGCTGGCAGTGGTAAATAATTACTTGGCTATCTCATATACTTTGAAAACCCAGTTAAATTGGAAGTGACATGATGACACATAGCAATAAAATATTGCTGCTAAATAATATTTGGGATATTTTCCTAGATTCACATAGAATTCTACAGCCATAGTCTGATCTCCTATAATCTATAAACCTATAGTTTCACCCTAGCTTATGAGGGAACTCACCAAACCCTGTAGAGGAATCCTTCAAATTGCAATAAAACTGTTGCACAGCATGTAAGCTCTCATGATGTGTAAGTATCCTCAAGTAAGGAAATGATAATATGGGACAGGGTTTTTTCCCCCTCAAAAACTTTGACAATACAACTTTATGTTAAAACCATGTAACTTAAGTATCAGTCTTTCATGCCATATAATCTCAGTCGGACAATGACTGAGAACTTTGCCTCTGCAATCAAATTTCACATAATTCAACTGCAAGTGTTAACCTTGTAGAGCTTGAGAGTGGTGGGTGGTATTGATCTTGAACTCAGTAGAAGATGAAGAACTAGTCAATAAATTCAGTGAACCTGCTGGCATACCCACACTACTATGTTGCACCATTTTGTCCAGTCAACACAAAATCCTAACTGCTGAAGCTGTCCATTTGCTAGTACTCCAGCGGGTACAGTCCCTCCCACTCAAAGCTGTTTGCCCAAACAAGGAACAAGAATATCTTAACCTTATTAACTGAGTTTCAGAAATAAGAAATGAAAATTTGATGGGGCATACTCCCAAGTTAATGTGCAAACCTTTGCAGCCCTTCTTAAGAGTGTTTACATTATATTACAGTTAATGACATCTGAAAAATGTTAGAAGGCTCAAAGTGCATGGCAGTCCTTCTTGCCCATCTTTTGACACTATTGTCAAGCCAGGCCCTGAATTTTGTACAAATAACTGAACTACAGAGTCCATGTGATTGGAGAGGAGGCGCGAGGAGGGGGAGGGAATGCTGAATGGGAGATCTTTATCATGATTGGGAGATACATTCTGACCAATGCCACCCAAGTTGGAACCTGAAGCCTACATTCCTCACCTGAGTCTGCAGCCTCCATTTTGAAACTTTCTTTTAACAACAGAGTCTGACATATAGATACGGTCATGATTTTTGGTTCGTTCGTTCGTTCGTTCGTTCGTTCCTTCGTTCCTTCGTTCCTTCATTCATTCATTTTCAGCACCAGAAATCATCACTTTACTCAGACTGACGGCATTCAAAAAATACAGCAGCCTTTGCACCTGTGGGACCATCACAAAGACCAACAAAATGTTGCTTAACAAAAATATGCAGTTTAGCCAATGCTGTAACTAGTAATGTCAGTGCCTGGTTCAAGATCCCAATACTTTGCTGCAGAGAGGCTGTAGACAAATGCAAAAGATAATTTATTCCATCTGGAAAAGTCTGTGGTGAAATCCTACTGCTTAGTGTAGTAAGTCATACTAAAATAGAGCCATTGAATCAGTGTGGATTTGGTGAGTCAGTTCTTCCATGAGTTCAGTTGATTTCAATGGGCCTAACTCTAGTTGTGAATTGTTACATCACACTAAGTCACAACTAGAGTGAGTCCATATGAATCAATAAAATTTACAGAAGAGTTGACTTACCAAATTCCCAACAATTCAATGGGCCTATGTTAGCATGACTTACTATGCTCAGAAACAGGAGTTTGTTTCGTACATGCCTGCAGTAAGCAAAACTAGCTATTCCCCTTTGAGAGCACTGTTGGCAATTAGAACTCCAGGGTCTCAATGCTCAAATGAGAAATAACAGAATTATTTGATAAGCTTTTGTTAGCTGGTATCAATTGAGCCACAACTCTAGATAAAGCAGACTTCCTAAATTGCACCAACACCTTTCAGAATATTAGTTCAATGGTTAAGTAAAACTGGACCATCATTAGATCAACTTTTTATCAAAAGTTATGCTGAAAGGCTGCCAAAGCTATTGTGTGTCTGAATAGATATGCTCACAAAAAAATGGAATAGGTCTAAGAAATATTGAGAACAAATGGCACCCAGCTTTTCCATTGTCTAGTTGGGAAAAAAGGAAACAGACCTGGAAATATGTCTCTCTGCTTCCATGGCAACAAGCTGCTCAACTTCGAAACTTTACCACCTTCACAAGACTCTCTCTCTCTGTCTTCCATGGCAACAAGCTGCTCAACTTCGAAGCTTCACAAGAGTTCCTCTGTCTGTCTGTCTGTCTGTCTCTCTCTCTCTCTCTCTCTCTCACACACACACACACACACAGAGAGAGAGAGAGAGACAGAGAGAGAGAGAGAGAGCTATTCAATACCAAAATGAATAACAGGGAACTTGCATCAGAAGAGAGAAAAAGCTGTACAACACAGGTGCTCTTAGATTTTGCATTTATAAATTAAATGTGATTTTCCCACCTGGTTTTGGGTATAAGAAACATGAAATATAGAAGGTAATTACAGCTCTGTCCTGGGAAGACGCCAGCCACAGAGACTGGCGAAACGTTAGGAAGAGCAACTGTCAGAAGACGGCCAAAGAGCCCGAAAAACCCACAACAACCATTAATTACAGCTTCCTTGACTGCTTTTATTTTGATTTTCAATGGATTACACATTCGTGACCTGACACTTAAACATTTTTTAAATTCTTAAATAATTTCTTTACTTAGTCATTCTCTCTTCTCATTGACCTGCTTACATATGTTATATCAAGTACTTCTAACACTCATAAGTAGAGATGGGGGAATTTGTATTTGTATATAAATACAAATATCCCTGTTCAGCTGGACTTAACAAGGATCCAGCCCCCCCCCCAAGTCAAACCGTCCACTCACGCATCCTGCTGTGGTGCTGATCCCACTCATCCTTCCAATCATGACTGGAGCACCACTCTCTTCCTGCTCGGCTGGCCACTCCAGGCAGGGGAAGGGAGGACGAATCAAGAGATAGACATTAATTATTCCCACTCATATTTCTATCTATCAAACCTAACAGATCAATGAAAGTCTACTAGTAATTCTGGCCACCACTCTGAAATCCTGTTGCTCATTGTAATAAACCACATTGGAGTAGGCTCATTCAATCAGTGGGGATTTGATGAGTCAACTGTTCTGTAAGTATGTTTCACTGATTCAAATGCGTTTACTCTAGCTACAACTTAATGTAGTGTCAATTGCAACTGGAGTAGACCCATTAAATCTATGTAATTTGCAGATGAGTTGACTCACCAAATCTCCACCAATTCAATGGACCTATTCTAATGCATACCTATTCTAATGGCCAATGCTTGCTGGAGTTTTGTTGTTGTTATGGTCTTTGTGTCAGCAACATGTTCTTTAATGCAAAGCTTCGACACAGAGTCTCTTGGACATATCCAAGATCAGAGCATTGGCATCAGCTCGATTTGATTCTCACTAGGTGCTCCAGCCTTCCTAGTATTATGATCACACACAGTTATCAGGATGCTGATTGCAATACTGATCCCTCCCTGGTGTGTAGCAGAGTAAAACTGCAAATAAAGAGATTGGACCACACAAAAAAGGAAGACCACACATTAACATCAGCAAGACTCACTATCAAACAACAGTGGAGGAATTTGCCCAAGCACTTGAGGGAACTCTTCCAGGCCTGGCTGTTGCAAATGCTCCTGAACGATGGGAATATTTCAAGAATGCTGTTTAAAACACCTCCTTGTCCATATTTGGCAAGAAGACCAAAAAGACAGCAGACTGGTTTGAAGCCCATTTGGAGGAGATGATGCCAGCCATGGAAGAAAAGAGGAGAGTTCTAGCAGCATACAAAGCCTGTCCTAGTGAATACAACTTGCAGGTTCTTCAAGTTGCTCATAGCAAAGTCCAACAGCCTGCCAGGAGATGTTCTAACGAGCATTGGCTTCAGCTCTGCTCTCAGATACAGATAGCAGCAGACAGAGGTAACATAGAGAGAATGTATGACAGTATCAAGCAGGTTTTAGGTCCAATGCAGAAGAAATCTGCTCCTTTGAAATCTGCTACAGGCGTGATCATCCAGGACTGAGCACAGCAGACGGAACGCTAGGTGCAGCACTACTCTGAGCAGAATGTAGTAACCAGAGAGGCACTCAATAGCATTGAGTGCTTGCCTGTCTTAGAAGTGTTGGACAGCAAACCAACTTTAGCAGAAATAAAAGCGACCTTGGATTGCCTCACCTCCAGCAAGGCACCTAGGAAGGATAACATCCCTGTTGAAGTGTTGAAGTGCTGTAAAGAGATCAACATGA